GTTGCGAGATGCGGGTCGTTGACCCTGCAGACGGCTCGACGCTGCGACCCGACGGGGAGAGCGGCGAGCTCCAGGTTCGCGGACCGATGATATTTGTACGCTACTACAACAACGCAGAGGCTACGTCATCTAGCTTCGTCGAGGGCGGCTGGTACCGCACCGGCGACGTCGGCATCATCGAGAATGGGATCATGCGCCTCAGCGGTCGTATCAAGGACACGGTCATCGTCCATGGTGTCTCGTACGGGATCCCTGAGCTCGAGACTCACCTCCAGACCGTAGAAGGAGTGACTCACTCGTTCCTCGGTGCAGCTCCGTACCGTGCTCCTGGTCAGGAGACGGAAGGGTTCATCATCTTCTACTCGCCGACCTTCGACCTCGATGGAGCAGATGCTTCGTCAAAGCTGTTCGCCACTCACCGTGCCCTTCGGGATATTTGCGTGAAAATGATCACGCTGCCGCCTCAATTCGTCATTCCCATCCCTGTGAACCAGATGGAGAAGACCACGCTCGGTAAACTGTCTCGTGCGCGTTTGATCAGTCTGTTCAAGCAAGGCCAGCTCGCTCAGCACATCGCTCGCTCGGAAGAGCTTCTGAGCGAGGCTCGTGGCGCTACGTTCGTCGCGCCGTCCACGGAGACGGAGAAGGCGCTTTCCAAGATATATGCTGGAATCTTCAACCTCGCAGAAAGCGAGATGTCGGCGAGCGACAACTTCTTCGAACTCGGCGGTACTTCCATTGACGTCATCAGGTCAGTACATACTTCCCGCCCTAAAATGGCTCTCACTAATGCATATCATCTCTAGGCTTAAGCGCGAGGGAGAGGCACATTTCGACCTTCCTGAGATCCCCACCATCCAGATCCTTAAGCACCCCGTCATCTCGAGCCTCGCCAACTATGTCGACTCCCTGCTCTCTAAGGACACCCAAACTGAAGAGTACGACCCCATCGTTCCCCTCCAGCTGACCGGAAACAAAACTCCGATCTTCTTCGTTCACCCCGGTGTCGGAGAGGTCCTGATTTTCGTCAACCTCGCGAAATACTTCCAGAACGAGCGTCCGTTCTACGCTCTCCGTGCTCGTGGCTTCGAGCCCGGCCACCCCTTCTTCGCCTCCATGGATGAGATGGTGTCGTGCTACGCTGCAGCAGTCAAGAGGACCCAGGCGACTGGGCCATACGCCATCGCGGGCTACAGTTACGGCGGCGTCGTCGCGTTCGAAGTTGCCAAGCGACTCGAGGCGATGGGCGAGGAAGTCAAATTTGTTGGTCTGATCAACATCCCTCCTCATATCGCGGACCGCATGCACGAGATCGACTGGACGGGCGGCATGCTCAACTTGTCGTACTTCCTTGGTCTCGTGTCGAAGCATGATGCCAATGATCTCGCGCCCGCTCTGAGGCCGATGACGAGGAAGGAGCAGCTCGAGGTTGTGTGGAAGCTGTCTCCTCCTGATCGTCTGGTCGAGCTCCAGCTGACTCCTGAGAAGCTGGACCACTGGGTGGACATCGCCGGGTCCCTGATCGAGTGCGGGAAGGACTACAACCCATCGGGCTCAGTTTGTATGTCATTTCCTTTCTGACTTCATTATCGCTTGCTCATATTCTGTGTCTCTTTAGCTGCTACAGACGTTTTCTACGCCATTCCTCTCCGCGGGAGCAAGTCAGACTGGCTCAACAACCAGCTCAAGCCATGGTCTGGGTTCAGTCGTGGCGAGCCATCATATACCGACGTGCCAGGTCAACACTACACGCTGATGGACTTTGACCACGTCCCACAGTTCCAGAAGATCTTCCGTGGTCGTCTCGAGGCCCGTGGCCTGTAAAAAAATTAGATTGGCGTATCATGTTTATATCTGTCTTTCGCCAGTATCTATTCAACTACTTATACTCGGAGTACATCAGGATGTGTTTCATACCTAGTAATTCACTTGACTAATTACGTCGTCATGCATCTATCGTTGTCTTATAACAAAAAGCATATCACAATAGAAATGATTCTTTGCATTTTCTCATGATATCTGGTGCTCTGAGCCCACCGCTTTTGGAGCAACACATGAAAACACGATTAACATTCTACGAAAATTGTGGTTAATGTGCCTTGGGCCACGCCATCACCAGTACTGTAAGGCGTTTGCTTGAATTCTTCTCACTATTTTACAGTTGGTGATCGTTTCCTGTATCACTTGCTTTGTGTTTTTTTTGCACTTCGGCCATCGAGGTACTTAATTTATTTCAGGAGGTGTTGCCAAACATGGTACACCGTGACCATCTACCACCAACACGGTGACTTATTGTGAATTTTGGTTGTTCAGGCTTACTGTGCAGTTGAAGCTTTTATGATAGACCTGGACGTTCCCCCGCTCCTACGGAGTACATGCGATCAACAGGCTGGCGATGATATGACTGACTGGTACTAGATTCCATTTTGCACTGAGCGGTAATCATTTTTACCGCGAAAAATACCTCTGGTGCGTCTCCAGTGCACGTGCTTGCTCACGTTAATGCTGATAACACAAGTGCTTTGCGAATGCATAAAAAAACTCAGTCCCTTTTGAATGGAAAATATTGTAACTCACGAGAGTCCAGAGGGTTTAGCAGCTCTGACGACAAATTTTTCTGCAGGACAGTGCCCGTAAACAACGTCCAAGTTATGGACCGGATAACACAAACAATTGGGGCAGGGCTGTGCCATGAACAGAATAATGGTGAATAGTTTTTCAAAGCGACATATCTAGCAATGTTAGAGCAATAGCTCTTCATATGTGGGACGTACTTACCAGGTGTAGCCGACAAATCATGGACTCTGCACACTAGCATGCGGGTGGACAAAGCTTCAACTCGACCTCACGATAGGTATTATGATGAGCTGGAATCCAACTCATGGATGCGCTTGCATGATGCTCAGTCGGATGATGGGGAAGGAGAAGGCTGTATACAGCTTCGCAGGCTCTTAGTGTCGTCGCCTGCCGGGAGAACATTTGGCAGGCCGTATCTAGCTCCAAGAACGAGCTGTGTAGGTAGGTGGCGAAGGCACAAGAACGGCCTTCTCGTTCATGGACTGAGGACCTGTGTGCTTGCGCCACGTCATGGTATCTCAGCAAGTCAAACATCAGGTAGTCAAACATATTAAGACTTTACGGATACATGAACAACTTTGGGGTGAAAAAGTTTCAAAAAGCTGAACAAGTCACGTTTGAATTCCGGAATACTGTCATGAAGTTAGCGCTGGCATCACAGATCAATTGACGACAGATGGGCTTCCATCACGGTCTTGGCCTACTTGGTAGAGTGATGAATTTCCCAAAGATGAAAGAAGCACGTTGTTGCCATTTGTTGGCTTACAGGAGAACAAGTCTTGACACCCTATGGACGCGATTCCAAGGAAATTTGGACGGATTCATCTCACGATCATTCCTCAAATGCAGAAGTAGCTCATGATCAATACTATCGCCGTCATCTTCATCCTCCTTCAAATCCTTCGTGCACTTGTCCCCTAATTCTGAACCTGCATCTTTATCAGCTTCGTCATTCAAGAAACAAACTGATCGGTCCTTGCGAGCTGGTATCATTAGACTTGCTTTTCAAGGTGGTGTATCATTCCATGCAGGATTTCCAACAGACCTTGCTCCTTAGTAGGGTAGATCATAGGTGGCGATCTGCTGGCATTGCAGACGTCACATGTTCGAAATGAAATTTCAGGTAGATAAGATTAGTATGCCATGAAGATCAATACTCAGCGCATAAAAGCAAGGCGTCTTCCGACTCTCTCCTTCAGATCGATTTGATCCCATACCACGTCCTCATAAAAAATGCGTCTCTCCTTTGTCCTCGCCACTGTTGTTGCTTTGACCGCATCAATATCTGTCAACGCTGACAGTGGGGACTGTCCTCTTTTTTGCAGACATACTGAGCAATGCACACCGTGCAAATACGACGACAGTGACCTATGGATGTGTGTGAGTATGAGTGGTTTGCGTCCTGGATCTATCTACACAACTTACCGACATGGTACTAGGTCTTGTTTGTATGCTTGCAGTTCTAAGTAGCTGGATGATATGCAGATCGTACAGTGCCGGTTTTCTATGGGCTTGCTTCGCAAACTAAAATTGGGAAGGGACGGGACGGGATACTTACCATACATAAATCTAGATGTGATGTAAACAGGTTGTCGAGCCACCGTGCAATTTCATCAAAAGGGCTTTGAAAGAGCGGGATGCCCTGTGAGGCTGTGATGCAGTGCTTATTTCACGTTGAAGAATTGCTACACAGTGGCACACGGTGCGAATGGCAGAATTGGACTATATAAAAAGGCCGCATTGGCCAGCATCAGTTAGGCTCGTGACCAGCCAGGCTGGTCGATCTCGGAGAAATTTGGTAGGCGAATAGTGTTGCCGCCGGTGTGAGTTGGAATCGAGTTAACATCGACTCGACTCGGAAATTTACGCAACTCGTGGCAACTGCCCCATGCGGTGTAGACATCGAGTTGCACTGCGAGTTGGTGATTGACATATCGAGAAGACTTTCCCATAAGCTTCCCTGGTATCTTATCAATGTTACTGTATAGATCTACTAAGTATCTATAATCTTGCCGACTGTAGCTCGAGTATTTCGTGCAATCTTGAGCACTTCTCCAGTGCTTTGCACCTCGGACTCGCCGTTATACCCCGTCAATATGTCTGCCCTACTCGCTTCATCAGTCCATATAAAATCAAAAAATTTCTACTTTTTTATGCATGAGTTCCTTACTACCATGTACATGCCCATCTCCCTCATTGTGTCGCTGCCCAGTTTCTCGATGGCCTGTGCAGTTCTCGAACCATTATGCAGGCTCTTACGGCCCACAGCTATGGAAAGCCGGACGCGCGCGCTCCGTTACATGATGTGACACGCACCAAATGAGGTAGTCACATGGTTGGGACACCGGACACCTCGAACACAAGAAAATTTTATAGTACCATACAGTCCGACGAGTACATTTTGCTGCAATCTAATGTTCTACTTCATCATCGTTCACTTCCTTGTCATTCTCGTCATTCTCGTCATTCTCGTCATTCACTTCCTTTACAAATGCTTTCAGCCCAAAACCAGGCCATTCACAATACTCATTGCAGGCATGCTGGGTTTCAAAATTGCTGACGGACGCCTCGATATTTCCATCGCCGAAAATATCACTCCCATTGCTGACCGACCTATCCGAACATCAGCATGTCAAGGTATTGAGTATCCGAACGGATAAAAAGACATACAGATCGGTCATGATTTGAGGATCCGTGAGTAGTACTGTACTCCCTGAATACAATGTTTCATTCCAGCCGAGCATTGTGTATCAATGAGACGTACCCTGATAGTCAGATATGAATGCGAGTTGGCCGGTCTTGACATACTGGACGTGCTGTGTGAAAGCAAAAAATTCTGCCATGTCGTAGCCATAGTCCAATTCATCGAGCAATGGATTGGCATCCATATTGTGGATGAATTTGAGAAATGTATCATCACCACCCTCAATGAGCTCTTCGAGGAGGAAGGCAGCTCGCATTGACCCCGTCTTCGCTCCAGACTTGCTACCACCCTGACTGTAGCACAATGCGAGGCCAGCTTCCACAAATCGAACACGTGGGACCACGAATGGCGGGGGTTCGGGTGAAGATGCGATCGAACGATCAATAAAGTCGTACGTGAGCTGTAATAAAGATTTGGACCAATATAAGACATTGGCTTCCCTGAATAACTTGGGTAGCTCGTCAGCGAGTGCATACCGGCCGACTTTATAATGTCCAGCCTTCACGGCAGTTGGAAATACTTTATAGAATGGACGTTTGACCACAACCTTATGATGAGGGACTGATCCGAGACCGGTCCTGGGAGAAGCTGTGAGTGTAAGCCATCCGGCATGCGCAGTCTTGAAGCCACCAATTCCAATGAAGCCTTCCGTCGACGTATCAATAGTCAGCTGTCCAATGGACGACTCGGCTGTGTCCACCAAAAACGAATGATACTGTGCGTTTCGCAAGAGATCGGTAATGGCACAGGTAGGGATGTGGTGGAATTGAACGTTTTCGTTCTGTAGTCCAAAAACTGTAAAATAATAGTAAGCGCTTGCCGCTGACACAATTTGAGAAATTGATGAATGTATGTACCTTTCTTTACATTTAAGTTGGCACTTCCTCCGATCTTCAAGACTTCTTTGAGTCGATCCCGATCGGGTGAACAGAGAGCTGCAGGAGGTACATTCTTCTTTCGAGGTGGAGAGGAAGCACCACTGAGACCGCTAGAGCTTTCAGCACGCTGGTGGGTTCTCTTGGTAGAGACTGTCGTAGAATTGTCACCGGTGGTCACCGAGGGCAAGAAAAGCTCATTCTCGGCTAGCGAAGTCGTTGCTGATGAGGGAACATTGCAACTGACGGCTTTGTGAGCAGTCGTGTGCGCAGTGGCGTGTTCGCTAGACTGCGTACAGCTTGTTCGGGTAGCTTCCGCTTCCTGGACCGCAAAATCATGGTTAGTGTTGGTAATCAGACAAGACAACATCCAAAATGCGTACCATTTCGGCACGAAGTTCCAACCAATTTTCATATTCGTTCCATTGAACCTCCGGGACAACGACCATCAGCGCAAATTCTTTAGACTTGAAAGTTGATTTGGTGCCTTTGCGAGACGGCTGCAGGCATTGATCGTAGAAATAAGGGACAGATCGCGGGTGATCGGATAGATCCACCCATGCAGCATCTCGGATGATGAACTCCTCGACACGCCAGATAAATTCTCCACCGAATTTGCGTAACTTTGGGACAATGGTCTCCAATGCTAGCTCAACGAGCCTAGGCGCATCGATTTGAGCGTCGATGTCCTTCTTACCCTCACATATATTCTAAGCTGAAGTGTAAGCAAGCCACAGTATATTTCAAATGTAGACATACTCCAATAGTGACTCCGCCTTTTTTGCGAGTTCCAGCACCTTCATGAACCGCAGTAATTTTAAGCAAAATTGTCTCTGCTAGAGATGAAGCATATGCGATTTTGCCCCAGCGGTCACGCTCAGCAGCGTAGAGAACATGTTGTGATGAATACCCAATGGCACCGGCACCCGTAAACGGAGTTGTTGATGAACCGTTCCATGATGTAGGAATTCTAACATCTGGCCCTCCAGTGCGAGAGCTGCCGGGTACAGCAACCACCGGAGGCGGATAAGGTGTTGCTGTTATGATATAAATAAGATCACCACGGTAACACAAATCTGTAGCTTACATTTGCGTTGCGCTGCATTCACAGATTGCTGTATAGTACGTGGATCAGGAGGGACGCGGTATTGCAAGGTTCGACCACCTAAGTCAGTAGTCCGTAATCCAGCAACTTGTCGATTGACGGTGATTGCGTACCAGTAGGTCTCACCGAAGTGGCTTGTTTCTTCTCGTAATGCAAGTGGCAGGATGCGCACACATAGCGCCCACGTTGACCTGGCTCGATTGTCGCAACATAGAAACACGGCTCTCCAGTCCTAATATTAGCCTGGCAAGACGGACGGTCGCAAATTCGGTCTGCTTTGGCATAGGCGTCCTCGGTGTATTGGGTGAGAAGTTCATAGTCTGACATGGTGCTCTGAAGGCAGCATACTAAGTGGATGCCAGGCAGCTTAAATATCGGGCATAAGTATGAGGTACCGCGGAAATTTGGAGTAGCTCAGGAGTAGCTCAGAGTTGAACTGTGGACTGGAAGGTAGTAGTAAACATGAGGTACTGTCAGGAATGGTAAGCAACAAGCAACACCGTCACGCCAAGTCAGATTTCCTTCAGGTGACACCAAACAACTAGCAAGCGGAGGACCCTGTCCGTCACGCCAAGTCGGATTTCCTTCAGGTGAAGGACCCTGTCCATCACGCCAAGTCAGATTTCCTTCAGGTGACACCAATCGCTGAGTCGGATTTCTTGGATAGTGAACATGCTGCTAAATAGGTGCATCAGTGGGCTGCACATGAGTTCAGACATAGGACGCACTATCAGACTCTTTGTTGAGCTCTTGTGCGTGAACCGTTCGGACTCTTCACTCAGACTCTTCATTGAACTCTTGTGTGAACTGTTTCTCTAGTGAGTCAACCTCATATGAAAGTCAACTTGGAAGCGCGCACCTATTTGTGATCTCCGTCCATTCCACACCCGCGCTCAGGCAAAGTACTAGCTGGGTTCAGACTTGATGATGTGGGGCACGAGTGAGGCATGAGTTTGTCCAGAAGCAGTGTGCCGTTTGGGACAAGTCCGGGCATGAATTCCCATGTGGCTGCGGCATGTACCTCTGAGGCAGCGATCTTAACGTGAACGGTTTTGGGGGTGGGACCAGGTGGGTCTTAACCTCGTCATCTTGCTTCTGAGTCCGGGATCTGTTGGCTGCGGCGTGTACCTCTGAGGCAGCAATCTTAATGGTAAGAATCGCTTGGAATCCATATGATAGATGTGCGATGAAATTTTACCTTGAAGTCTTCAAAGGCTGGTTGAGTTATTTCCATTGCACGGATGATGTTTTCTTGAGGGCCAGACACTAGCTTGCGAAATTCCACTGGCATCGGTCGCGGTATGGTGAGATGGTCGGTTCAGACTTATGGCAGCGGGGCATGAGTGGCAAAGCCAGAACATTATTTGGGAGTTTACAGAACACCAGATTCAAGATCCACATGCGCATCTGCAGCTCGCAAGGCACGAGCGGGGCATGAGTGGCAAAGACAGGATGTTTGGGACAAGTCCGGGCATGAATTCCCGTGTGGCCACGGCATGAACTCCTGGACTACTGAACTAGGTAAGCCCAAAGCAAGTCACTACTAATATAAAGGTGACAACGCAAGCCTAGTTGCAGCCAGTAAGCGTGCTGCAATGCCCAACCAGAACAAACCTACACGTACGTACCTTTCAAGTCACTCCCACTAGTGTAACTTCATTCTGAACTCTAAGCAGCACCACTGGATGAAATCGCACCCCATATCCTTCGACTGTGGAAGGCCCGCCAGACTGATCGGCAGATCGTTCAGGAATTACAAAAGCATATCGACACCAATCGTTATGGTATTGGGTGAGCAGTGTTTTAATTTGAATCTCGTTATTTACGTCAAATGATCATACACTAGGCTTACCACACTTCTCAAAATTCGCAAAACCATGGGTCTTCAACGGACCCGCAAACAGGGTCACACGGTTGAAACTATTCGTGATGCGATGCTTGCTTTACGTGCTACCTATCCGAATGCTGGAGCCCGCGAGATGGTGAGCTTGCTATATCATGAAAGAGAAATGAGTGTTGCTAGGTTATACATTTATCTATACATCGCTGATTGCTGACCTGTGCACCTTAGGAGGGTTGTGACAGAATACTTTGCTTTGTATGAACCGGAACTTGTTCGTTACCGTAAGGCTTGTCGCCTTCGAAGAAGACGCTTCTGGGCAGCAGGCGTGAACGACTTATTCGCGGTCGATCAGCACGATAAGTGGTTGAGATTTGGTCTCGGGTTGCACACTGGCATCGAGCCTTTCTCCGGTCGCATAATGTGGATTCGGGTATGGCATTCCAACCAAAATCCACAACTCATTCTGAGTTACTACCTCGACACAATCGAGGCTCTCGGTCGTAAGTGTTTCGTAATTTAAACTTTAAAGCATGAACCTAGATTAATACAATATTAGATATGCCGATGGTCACTCAAAGTGACCCCGGGTCTGAAAATTACGGGATCGTGAACGCCCACACCATGCTGCGACAGTGGCACGACGAAGCCTTGCATGGCACACTCCAGCATCGTTGGATGCGAAGCAAGAAAAACGTCATGCCGGAGATTACATGGTCTCAGCTGCGCCGCCGGTTCACACCCAGATTCGAGAGTCTTCTAGATCATGGTGTTAATTCTGGTTGGTATGATTCCGGTAATACCCTTCAAGTGTGCGCCATTTTCCTTTTCTTCGAGTGTTGGTCATAATGTTCATCTGCAGGATGGTTTTCCGTTGGGTGTTCATACCGTGGCTCCAGCAGGAGCTGGATGCATATCGGGATCGTGTTAACAACACGGCCAAGCGCCGTGACCGTAACAAAGTATGTGCCACTCCCACAAGTATCTTTGCATTGACGTGCCATCTAGATTCTTCCTCATGGAGTACCGAATATCATCTACCATTCAGCTGAGGACTTCGGTGCTTTAGATTTCAAGGTATGTGTTACATCAATTCGGCCATTGTCAAATAGTACTCTAATCTCAACACTATCATAGATTAAAATCGAACACGAGGCCCTAGTTTATGTCCGAAACCTTTACATCAAGTCTTCTCATTGTGTGTTTGACCTGGTCCCAGAGGCTTTCGGCAAATGCATCCAGCGTCGTTATGACGATCTTGGTCGCCCGGTTGTCACGCGACAATCAGCCTGGGACACATATCGGCTTTTACTAGATGCACTCCGTGTCGCTGACGAGTTGCCAGGCCAGATTCAGCCGCTGGATGATGAAGACGAAGACTTTGTTCCACTTTTAGACGACTATCAAGACTTACCTTCTCGTGAGGAGCCTGATGGCGCCTATTACATGGGCGGTGTGGGAGGAGGCATTGGCCTTGGTTTGTCGTCTCCAATCTCAACGGTGCAAATGCTGATTTGGATGTTTACTAGATACTGAACACCTTCATCAACTAGATATTCTTTCGTCTAATGATGAGCCGCCTGATGTCACACTCGGGACTGATGAAAACTTGGTCGGTCTTGATCATGCCGGTTTGGTGATTTGGGAGTTCTCGGACTGTGAAAGCGACGATGAAGCAGATAAATGGTGATTTTCCTTCCATTGTGTACATATCTCGTGTATATATTTAGTATTCTTGGATGGCGGTATGCGGAGTCCTACTGCCCGTTATGGATGTGTGACGCTTATTAATGAGCGCGCGCATCCAGCTTTCCATACACAGCTACATCCAGCTGATGTGACTGCTTTCATCCCACTTACAAATCCTCAGTGGGTGCCGCAACCACAACAACCCTACTATGCTCCACAGCCGCAGCAGCTATTCACGTTTCCCTCAGTACCACAGCCGCCGCCTGCTCTTGAAACACCTCCACCTGTTATCAATGTAACAGCCCCGGCTCTGCCCCGCAAACGGAAAAATGCCATCTCATCGGGGAGTACCGCACCTGCTAAGAAGAAGCGCCTATCATTCACCCAACATCAATAGCCCTCCCTGAGACTGTACCTGCACTGACCACAGCAGCACAACGAGCAAAAGAACGCGCAGAGGCGGCACTTGATCGTGATGCAGCCTCGAGAGAGTTTGACAGATACATCGAGGAGGGTTTGACGGACATGAAAGACCTGAATCTTGTTCATTACTGGGATGTAAGTCTCACACTCATTGTTTTCACACATGGCGCTAATTGTGATTAGGATGCGGAACGAGTATATCCACTTTCATACAAAGTCGCCCTTGACATCTTACCCATACAAGCTTCCTCCGTGCTGTGCGAGCGAGCCTTCTCATCAAGTGGGGAAACGTGCGCCCTTCGGCATAGCCGAATCCTCCCAGATCTTCTCGGCAAGTTACAGGTGTTCAAATACATTTACAAAGGAGAGCGGCTGGATTTCGCGGCGGATTGGATTGCGACAGAAGCTGACTATGGTATTGAGGGAGACGTGACACAATCAGCTGTAGAAGAGCTATTGTCATCTGGTAAAATAGAAGAACTAGCTGAACTCTTGAGTAACATTACATGTCCATAGCAAGTAAACCTTTGAATGTATTTCTCGAACTCGATGGGCTCAGAGTTGGGAATAACCAGAAAGAGATAGAACTGAGCTCGTTGATTGGTGGACTTGATTCCCGAACAACATCCAAACTCGCTAGTTGCACTGGTGTGTAACTCGATCCAACTCGAATCGTTTACTTGTTCGAGTTCCCTAGCACTGCATCACACCGCGTCGACTTGCGGCAACACTATAGGCGAAGCACGGAGTTTGTGTAGGAACGTGACTGTAGAACGAGTCTCAGCGTTAATGACACTTATATTGATTATACCTGTAGAACGAGTCTAGAGACAGAATAATGTAAGTATGAGACATCGTGCAAAGAGAACATAGACTGTACCTCAGCGTTAATGATAGAACCGATACAAGAAGATTATTATAGAGTCCGTGATGACAAACAAACAGAAACATGTCAAAGGAATGTCGACGTTGAATCCATCCAACACAACGAGACAGTCGTTTGTGATTCTGTACTATATATTGTCATATATATCCTTCTATTTTTTCCACCCGTCCACTGATGCCAGTAGATGAACACATGTCGACCGCCGACTTCGTGGAACGACTTCTCATCAGATAAGCCCGAATCCCCGTTAGCTTGTGTTTTGCTTCACTCGTGTACAGTGCACCCAGACTAGTAGGCAGACCATATGTAAGTCATCGGACCTGTGGCGCCTGCGAATAACAAATAGGTACGCGCGCAATGGCATGGTCACCACGTACGTATACTTACGGTCGACGTGCAATGTGCCTCATGCTGTAGTATATCCTCTGTCACACATGTCCTCGCTTGAAATCGTTCAATGTCGTTGATTTGGGCTTTTTGTTATTATGTCTCCTCTACCTCGCGTGGGCGCTGAACACTTCTAGCCTAAGGTCAGTCAGCCAATGATAAGCCCGAGATCCTGGCGACAGTGCGAACCCCTTGGCCAGTGGCGGCTATACCCGGGTGCTACATAATAGGAAGTGTCGCGTGTGACTGATTCTATGTCAACTGATTAGCAAAAGCAGGTTCTTGTGGACGGCCATTGTAGGCCTTATCGATTAGCTAGCCAACAAGCCGGTCAGCAACCGCCTCATTGGAATGACTTCACGCAGTATAACAAGCCGCATCTTTCATCCGAGTCATCCCCTCGCACCACCATGATTGCGCCGCAGAATGACGAGGAGACACCTCTTCTGCAACAACCAGAGCAGCCAACGGCCAAGACACCTCTTCCCTGGGATCAATTTTGGATTCTACTGCTCTTGGAGATGCCAGATTTTCTTTCTTCTGGGACCCTTACGCCGTTTATTCCCCAAGTGATTATGGCATATTCCCTTCGCTGAACTTATATCTGATCCCAACTGAAACTTTGTCAAGCTCATCAGAGACATCGGAGTCACTCACGGAGACGAATCCCAGGTTGGACACTATGCCGGAATCCTTGTAAGCATGTCTTCATCGTTTTGCCCTTTCCTTCGTTCATGATACCATTCTCTCCAGCAATCATCGTACTATGCAGCTCATACCCTGACTATTTTTCATTGGAGCCAACTGTCCGACCACATCGGGAGGAAGCCTGTAATACTGACAGCTCTATTAGCAATCGTTATTTCGATGTTTTCGTTTGGGCTGTCGAAGACATTCTCTGGTCTGCTGTTAAGGTCAGTGCGTTCAGTTAAATATCAAATAGTAGTTGTGATCGTTAATTACTTGACCACAGTCGTATTGTCTGCGGAGCATTTGATCCGAGCGATAGTATGGTTAGGGATCCGCACGGGTATACCCTGGGGTGTCGGGGACCTGACCCGCACCCGCACCCCGAGGTATACCCGGACCCACACGAAGGGTGCGGGTTTTTGGGGGGTATGGCCAGCTCGTACCCTCACCCGCACCCGTGCAGGGTTTACCCGTGGGTAGTACATATAAATATCAAGTTAGAAATATGAAAAAAATGATTGTAAAATAGAACTTACTAAGACATTGCGAACGGTGAGCAACGACTTCGATCAGTATGGCTTGAGCTCGATGGAGGATCGACACGCTATGAACAATAGACAATGACTTCAATCAGTATGGCTCGAGCTCGAACGAGGACGACACACTCACGTTCTATGAACATTGGGCTACGACTTGGATCAGAATGGCTCTTGCTTGAACGAGGATCGGCGCACTCACATACTGCGAACGTTGGGCTACGACTTGGATCAGCATAGCTCTTGCTCGAACGAGGATCGGCGCACTCACATCCTGCGAACGTTGGGTGACGACTTGGATCAGCATGGCTCTTGCTCGAACAAAGATCGGCATGCTCACATCCTGTGAACATTGGGCGACAACTTGGATCAGCATGGCTCTTGCTCGAACGAGGATCGGCGCACTCACATCCTGCAAACGTTGTGCTACGACTTGGATCAGCACGGCTCTTGCTCGAACGAAGATCGGCATGCTCACATCCTGCGAACATTGGGCGACGACTTGGATCAGCATGGCTCTTGCTCGAACGAGGATCAGCGCACTCACATACTGCAAACGGTGGGCGACGACTTGGGTCAGCATGGCTCGAGCTTGAAGGCAGGCGTTGTGTTGAAGAAGATGGAGGGGTATAGCACGCTATAGTAGGTAGTGTAAGCATTAGCAATAGGACAAGTGTAGTAAGTACCGCTATAGTTCTCGATTATGTAATGTACCGGTCAAACCCGAGCGCGGGTGTGGGGTGTGGGTCCGGGTACTCAAAGTGCGGACCCCCACCCGTACCCCAGTAGTACCCATACCCGTGACCCGCACGGGTTACCCATACCCGTGCATATGCCTAAGTATGGTCAAGAGCATGCTGATGGACATCACTGACGCAACCAATATGCCCAAGGCATACAGTTATATACCAATTCCTTTGATGATCGGAATCACAACCGGGTAGGCATACAGTACATTTTATCTCGCACTGAGGTTCACGGCATCTACTAGACCACTCATTGGGGGATTGCTCTCCCGACCAGCAGACAAATTCCCTGACATCTTCGGGCGATCAAAACTCCTGAAAACCTACCCATATCTCCTGCCATGCTCTATCTCAGCATTTTTTGTATTGATAATTTGGCTAGTCGCGTATATCCGTCTTAAAGAGGTGAGCGCCTGAAAACCCATCTTTGGATCTGGATCACACTAAGTGTGGTTACAAGAGCATCTCTACCACTGGCAAAACACCGCTCTGGGAGCTAATTAAAGGAAGATTCTTCGGACAATCATACTCGAAGCCTCGCCAACCATCGAGCAACGTTATAGTTGATCCTGGGGATGGGAGTCCTGGAGAAGTCCAATCAAAGCCGCTTCCGCTGCGCGCCTTGCTGACCTCGAAAGTGTTGAGTGTGACAGCGTGTTATGCCACCACGGGCCTGTTTCAAATGGGGTTCAATCTAATCTTACCTGTTTTCTATGCGACACCGATTGAACTTGGTGGTCTTTTCCTTGACCCTCCTCGCATCGGTGCTTTACTTGCGGCATCAGGTGTCATACATGGAATATTTCAGTTACTTTTCTATGCTCATTTACATGATCGCTTCGGTGCAAGAGCTATCCATATCACCGGTGTTAGCTCCGGCATACCCATGATCATTTTATTCCCAGTGACCAATGCTCTGGCTCGAGCCTATGGAATAGGCATGGCGGTGTGGCTGTGTGTTGTCGTCCAGCTTACGCTGAAGACTAGCCTGATCATGTGCTTCCGTATGTTAATCCAGCACTTCCTGTGTTCTGTTGAACTGAGAAGAACTCGCAGCCTGCATGGTATTATTCACCAGAGCAGCTGCTCCCAATCGCGCCTCGCTCGGAGCAACCAATGGAATCGTCATGGTAGCTGTTGCAATAGCAAGGATCCTCGGCCCGGCATCTGCAGCTTCAGTCTTCTCTTATTCGTTGCAGGAAGGGCATGATGCGTGGTCGATATACTACTTCATGATCGCAAATGCATTTCTCACTGTAGGTACTGCTCTATTGCTTCCCCATGATCCTAGTGTATGGGAAAGTTCCCAATAACATTATCCAAATGACTGTGTACATTATGATATAGTGTAGGAGGCATGGAACTGCATCGCAGATGCCAATATTTACGACCAAAAATTGTCACAACCTATTTTGCGACGAATTCAACGATAAAATTATAAACACTAGCTGGCGACTCGGACTACCGCGAGTACGCTCTACATCGTCGATTCGTCAAAGTCCAACTGCTCAAGAACCACTGTATTCCACGAATCACGTTTCATTCTCATGCTTACTGCTCCTGTTGGACAGTGAATTTGAAACGCAAACAGCATCAGTAAACCACAAATTTCTCCCCAGAAAATGCCTATTTCGACAGTTTCCCACAGTTTCCCACAGACTCTCACAGAGCGGACAGCGCTCACAAAAGTCACATAAGCACAGACAAGTATTTCACACAGCTCTGACAGGATGTACAGCTCTCAAGGTTGCCAGCGCTAGCGCTGTCTCAGTTGAATACTACTAAACCTTGAATAACTTAAATTACTAGTATAGTAGTGCCAGATAATGCACTTGGTAAGGTAATGAGGAATGTCGAGAATATCTCTTCATGAGGAAGAGTATCATTTGAGTTGACAGATGACTGAGGTGTTGTTGGAAGTGCCCACTTCCGAAGTCCAGCCTGGCTAGTAGTACTATCACACAATGGCACAATACATCATTCCATTAAAAAAACACTCGATTGAATATATGCAATGGTATATAATGCACTTGGTAAGGTAATACAAAAAACAGTGCACGACCATGAAATACACTGGTCGTACATCAATCCAATTGGATAGTGATATTTTGACTGGCAGCCCGCGACTCAATGTAAGAACCTGTAGCCTGTCTGTCATAGCACTAGGGATGGACGGGGGTATGGGTGACCCCTGAGGGTCAGGGGTAGGGGTACCAAGGGGTAGGGGTGTGGGTAGGGATCTTAGGACCCCTGTACCCCTGGACAATTGGTAGTACCCCTGGGCCTAGGCATAATATATCCCCAAATTGATTACCATAGGAGTGATTGATAAGTATAAAATTTTGAAGTTGTCAACAGTGTTACAGTATAATGGCTATTGGGCTTATTGTGATCTTATATTGTGAGTTAGCTATTATTTGAGTAAGATATAAGTAAAATAAAGTCAGCCTACTATGTCTTCTAGCCTCGATGGTGATGATACCCCTGTACCCCTTGTGATACCCTTGTACCCTTATAATACCCCTGGGTTACCCCTGACCCTTGGCTGAGGGGTAAGACCCTCCAGGGGTAGGGGTGTGGGTTAGGCTCATGGTACCCCGGGGTTTACCCCCGTCCATCCCTACCTCCAAGTGCCGGTGAAAATCAGCAACCACGACCATGATCTCTCGGAATTGTACGATGTCACTGATGCTATTGGCTCTATGGTAAGTGGCTTGATATTTCCACCAGCAACTAGCATCTATTGTCTAACATGTTTGTAGACTATCGAAGACACAGATGATCTTGAGGCCAACTTGCTTATGGAACTCGCGAGAGCAAGATGAGAGGTATTCAGAGCCGAGAAATTGTTGGCTGATTGCATGGTCCGTGAGCATGAAGTTTTGGCCAATCTATCAAGTTCAAATCCAGCATATCTGAGCACAAACTTGACAAGGCAGACGTCGGATTGGAATACATGCAGATCACCTTTAAAAAGCATGGCCTTTCTCACCAAGTGCTTCCTCATGCTCTGGATGGTAAGTCTTTCAATACATTGATATTCACAGTGCTATGTAGGGATGGATGGGGGTAAACCCCGGGGTACCATGAGCCTAACCCACACCCCTACCCCTGGAGGGTCTTACCCCTCAGCCAAGGGTCAGGGGTAACCCAGGGGTATTATAAGGGTACAAGGGTATCACAAGGGGTACAGGGGTATCATCACCATCGAGGCTAGAAGACATAGTAGGCTGACTTTATTTTACTTATATCTTACTCAAATAATAGCTAACTCACAATATAAGATCACAATAAGCCCAATAGCCATTATACTGTAACACTGTTGACAACTTCAAAATTTTATACTTATCAATCACTCCTATGGTAATCAATTTGGGGATATATTATGCCTAGGCCCAGGGGTACTACCAATTGTCCAGGGGTACAGGGGTCCTAAGATCCCTACCCACACCCCTACCCCTTGGTACCCCTACCCCTGACCCTCAGGGGTCACCCATACCCCCATCCATCCCTACTTGGAGGTGAGCTGCATGTGAAACACAGCACTGAGGGAAGCGAGAAGATGCTGTAGTTGAAGTGGGGATGTTCTCATGGATGTTGAGACTAACAAGTGGGGTCGACTCAGACATAAGTACTAAAATAATCGATATTATCATGTGGGCAATGCTGACTCGTTTGGCCTTTGTTTATTCTATACAGTAGATTCGGTAAAGTCTGAGCTGACTTTGACGTACACATGTCCATGTTTTTCTCACACCTATACATTCTATTCTTATCATTATGTTTCAGTGTCCTTTGTGCGGCAAAGGTGGATTCAAAGACGAGGTTGCTGTAGCCTGTCATATGAATCAGCCTCGCTCAGGATGCAGCACCTGGCTACAGGATATGATACAGTTGGAGTCTGCGCGAACTGAGTCTATGAACGTTGATAGCAATGAGCTCAATATTCTGGATGATCATCTCCATCTCGCAAACACGTACGAAGAACATGACAGATCTGGAGGCTGGGGTGAGGATACTGGACATGACATTGATTCAAATGAGGGTGGTTCTATGGTCAATGAAGAAGGAACATTACTGACTGGCGACTTCATTGACTGGTTCCCCGGAGCTTCTCAAACGTATGGCACAGGTCATACTTTCCTTGACTTGTTCAACTCAGATGAGAACAGTGTGCACCGTGCAACAAATCTTTACTATCCATTCAGTGGCCAGAAAGATTGGGAACTTGCATCATGGCTACTTCATTCGGGATTAAGCATGGGGAAGATAGATAGCTTTTTGTCACTTGAGATAGTAAGTACTCAATATCTTTGATTGGTAGAGTCTAACAACGTGCATGGTAAGATTCAGGGTCTTCCTCTGTCGTTCTCATTGGCCAAGGAACTGCGAGGCAGAGCAGAAATGTTGCCGAGTGGTCCATGCTGGATGTCTCAAGTAATTGAGACAACGTGTCCGACAAAAACACCGGTCGTCTTATATTGGTGCGACCCGTTGGATTGTATCTCCAGTATTCTTAACCATCCATCCTTTCACGACCGGTTAGACTTTATGCCTCGCAAGGTGTATACCATGGTGCAGCAGCAGTGCTGTGTGTACTCCGAATGGATGACAGGAGATGATGCATGGAAGATGCAGGTGTGTAGCTTCGCTTGTTCAAGGCACTCTCAGTACTTATCGTTTTCGATGCAGTCGGCTCTACCACGAGGTGTGACACTGCTTGGGACCATTCTATCATCTGACAAGACAGATATATCTATGATGATGGGCAACAGAATCGCACACCCGCTCCTCATCAGCCTCGCTAATATACACATGTCCACCTGACTCAAGACATCATCTAATTCTTGCGTGCTCACTGCCCTGCTCCCTGTACTGAAATTCCTTCATAAAAATAAACATATGTGCGGTATGCTAGGGGATCGTCTAGTCCATCAATGCCTGGACATCATTTTAGAGCCGCTAAAGCTGGCTGCTCGTGAGGGAATTATGCTGTCAGATCCTGTTGGGCATAGTCGCTACTGTTTCACTCCTCTCGCAAGTTACATTGTCGCTACTCCGGAGGCCATGATGTTGGCTGCCGTTGGTGGCAAAACTTCGCCAGTTACTATGGCCATGTTCAAGCAATTTGGCGACCCTTTCCAACACGAGCCCCGAACTAGTTCAATGACACTCGCACAAATAGCTGCTGTCTGGAGCAAGGTCAATTCCAATGATATTGAAGCTTTCTTTCGTGAAGCACAGAGGTTTCGTCTAAATGGTGTCAACAAACCTTTTTGGCAGGATTGGCTCTTCGCTGACCCATCACACTTCCTCACTCCCGAAACCCTCCACCATCTTCACTGAGAGTTCTACGACCACGACCTCAAGTGGATCATATGTGCAGTCGGGGAAGCAGAGATTGATTTCCGCTTCTCAGCATTGCAGCCTGTGACAGGGTTTCACCATTTCCATGGCGGCATTTCAAAGCTAAAGCAGGTCACAGGGCATGCCCAATGTGACATCCAGCGCTCAATTATTGTAGTCAGTGCAGATGCAGGGCCCAGTGCTGTGATGACAGCTATACAAGCTCCGACAGACTTCTGTTATCTCGTGCAGTCACCACAGATAGACGATCACAATATTGAGCGTATTTCCGCAGCGCTGGCTGAATTTCACGCTAACAAACATGCAATCACAGCTGCTGGGCTTTGTCGTGGACAACACAACAAGCCTATCGATAACTGGTACATACCAAAGATAGAGCTTATGCACAATATAGTTCCCAGTATACGCAACACCGGCGTCACCATGCAGTGGAGTGCAGACGCTAAGGAGCACGCACATATCACTGAGATAAAAGATCCTGCACAGTCAAGTAACAACAACAATTACGATTCACAAATCTGTTGTCACCTTGATCGTGCAGATAAATGTCGTCGCTTTGATCTCGCAACAAGTCTATTAGACTTGAGACTACGAACCAGCCTAGATCAACACCTCAACGTTGATGACGTCATTGATTTTGATGTCGATGGCAATGACGACGACAGTGATCTCCCTGCAGACCTCTTGGCCATGGTCAAGTGCCCTGGATATGCACGTCCAATCACTGACTACTTTACAATGTCAAAGGTTCTTCGACACAGGGAGGTAGGGACAGTCCCTCTACCATTGCGCACCTTCATTGTTGGACGTATGGCCTTTTATCTCACCTACAGCCCATCAATCAGGGCCATCTCCATTGATGATGCTGCTCTTAGATTTGGCCTTCCTGACTTACGACCAGCCATCGCTGACTTCCTTCGTCGTGAAGATATCCACAAATATGGTCATGTTCATCTGCTTGGGGGGGCTAAGAGGGCTGGGTGCAATGCTTCAAACTTCGGCTCCAGGATACAGAATTTCATGATACCACCAGTGTGCGGCCTGCACAGACCCTGAACTGTGCACCATCTTCTGAAATTTGGCCATTTGGTCGGTATGACACTGTTATTGTCAATAATGAGGAAGGGCACTCATGGCCTGCCGATGGTCTTCATGGTGATTGATCTTATTTCATTATACTAAGTACTCTCTAACTCTTGAGTTTCTAGGTCATGTTGTCGCTCAAATGAGGCTTATTCTATGTCCAATTAGAAAGACAGGCACACAGGGGACTTGGAAGAATCGCTTCCTCACTTACATGCAACACTTTAACAATAGCGAGCGCAAACCAGCTATGCAGCTACAAGTGCTCAAGAGGGCGAAACGGTCAAACGGGGCTCGCATTGGTGATGTGATACCAGTCACTCAGCTCAGAGCGCCTGTTAATGTTGTCCCTCGCTTTGGTGCAAGTGCAGACCCTCATCTCACTCAATATAACAGTATGGAGCACGCATCAGAATTCTGGCTCAATAAGTATTGGGACAAAAAAATATTTTTCCCTCTTTCAATGTAGCACCATTTTTTTGAACTGTATCACACTCAAAGTTCCCCAGGCACACACACTTCGAATCAAACTCAGTAAAATCCTTCATCGCGACACACGGATTAACACAATCTTCAGTCAAAACTCTCCGGATGATATCGTGCCATTGTATGATAGCCAAGCTGGACTTTGGAACTGGGCACTTCCAACGACACCTACTCAGTCATCTGTCAACTCAAATGATGCTCTTTCTTAGCCAGGTGTCACCCATGAAGAGATATTCTCGTCATTCCTCAATGCTCTTTGTACCGCTATGGCTGAAGCAGAAGACAAGCTAATCACGCTATCTGCAACTTGCACATGGAGTGCAAGCAATTCCACGGTTGCAGTGTCTGGTAGTGATATCAAGCGCAAGCCTGATCTTGTGCTATCCAATAATATCAAGCCCAGGTGGGGCAATATTCGTCTGTGCGCTGAGCTGACATACAGTCAGTACAAGCCTGCACAGCGGATTGCGAAAGCTGCAGATACCAAGGCATATTTACTCCTCAGCAATCAGCCCTGGAGATGTTTCGCACTCATTCTATCATTCACACATCAATATCGTGAACTCAGGGTCTTGTTGTATGACCATGCCAGTGGTGTTGTGACCCCTAGCATCAAAATCCAGCAGAGTCCAGACACATTCACCCAAATTATTGCTTCTGTTGTCTTTGGCAGCCCAGAATGTATTGGGTACAATTCCATGATCACCTTCTGGAAAAATATGTCGCTTCCCCCACCCCCAGGTACAGATATACCTGGTTATCACCCATTCAAGAACCTTCCTGCCCGAGCTACTCGGAGTATTACCATTCCTGGTGAACTTGACAGCGAGTCTCTCACTGCATTGGATGAGGATCCCCAGGAACTGTCCCTTAATGATGAGGCCGGGTCAATACTCCCCCCTGATAATGACCTTGAGCCGATACCCCCCGCTGATGATACCTCCAACTCAGAGCCAATGCCCAATGATGATCTTGAGTCTCTGGAGTCTCTCAGAGACCCGTTAGAAGAGCTTCCTGGTCCCGCTCCTTCCCCTCCTCCCTCGTGTCTTCCGCTGCAACCCCTTGCAGTCACCAGCACTCCCTTGTTGGGCCTCACATCTTGGGCTCCTCTGCCGGGGGCTAATACCACCTTCAGCTCTACACCCCATCCTTCCCATTTTCCCCACACCCCTCAATTGCCTGCAGAACTCTGTGACCAGATCTGTGTCAACAGCAAGATCCACACTATCCTGAAAATCCTCTGTACTAGCAAGGGCCTCGTTGGTTGCAGGACTGTCTGTTACCTTGTCAGTCTGGACGAAGAAGAATATATTATTAAAGACCACTGGGTTCAGGGTGGCGAGGAGAAAGTCTTGAATGAGATCGACATGCTAAATGCGATGAGCGGTGTTCCTGGCGTTCCCAAGCTAGTAGATTACTGGCTGGTCAAAAAGTCAGATAATGTTGTTGACCGGACAGGGGATTATCATCACATGGAAAACCCGAGCATTCGAGGTACCCATCACACGCACGTTCACCTTGTCATGAAGCCATGTGCTTGCCCTCTTCATGCATTTCGAACCCTCAAAAAGTTTGTGAGAGCAATTAGGGACATTGTTATCAGTGAGCTTTAGTCAATTGTGCATGTGTTTAGTATTCATTTTCTTATATTCTAGTCCAACGCACAGCAGTAGAACACGGCATTTTACATCGTGACTGCAGTTTTTACAATGCGATGATCGTAGGAGAGCCCAATGATAGTATGGGGCTATTAATTGATTGGGAGTTTGCGGTATTCATTGCTTTGAATGATGAATATTCTATTGGTGGTACAGTAAATATATCTCACTTGAATGTATGAAATTTTGTTGACTGGTTAAATGGTTTATTAGGGCACAATCTCTTTTATGTCATGTGCGCTTCTCGCCCAACTTGCAGAATTGCAGACCAAGGCACTACAGCAAGAAGCGCGGAAATCCTCTTCCAAAACTTTGGTGCTGCCACCATCCTGTGTCTCTCAAAGCTTTGTGGACGACCTCGAGTCCCTCTTTTATGTCTTCATATATATTTGCATCAAATACGGCGGTCCTAACGGCAAGGAGCACCAGGAGTCCATACATGACTCATTGCCAGATAGCTGGTCAACCCTCAACCTGGATGAGTGCAAATTGAGGAAGGTTTATTTTTTTGCAGTTTCCTCAGAGGAGGCCCATCTTGCAAAACAATTCCACCCATACTTTGCACCACTTATCCCCCTTGTGAAGGAGTGGAGGGCGACCTTGAGGGACGAAGCAGACTGGCTGGAGGACAGGGTTAGGATGATGGCCAAGTTCTGGAGGAACATCCAGGTCCATAAGTACCGGTCCATGCGGAATCCGATAGGGCAGAAGGCTCTGCTGACTTACCAAGCAGAGCAGCGCAGGCACTGGCACGTCGCCGTAAAAATGTCTGTGGGTCCCTACAACCTATCTCTTGTTAACAAGAAAGTCTTGGAAGAAACGAGAGAGAGGGTGTACTGGGAAGAGCGCGACAAGAGAGACAACGTCAGGAACTATAAGGTCAGTCTATTCACTCAATAAAACATAGGCTCAAGCTCATCATCTGGTTTTTTCAAAACTCTTTCTCGCTGTCTTGTCTTAACGTCTTGCCACATGCCACACTTAACATGCCACATGCCCCATGCCACGCGCCACATGCCATGCTGCTCAACGCAGTCCGATCAACGAGATAACTCGTTCAATAAGCAGCACGATTCCAGAGACGTGCGGAAGTGCCCAGCCTCTCCCGAGCATACCAGCAAGGGAAAAAGAGCGAGGCAGGATTTTCAGCCCAGCACAAGCAGAGGTGTCCTCTCGGCTTGTGCTGTCTGCCTCGGATGAAACCCGCACAAAATTATCGAGTGCAAGGCCACTCGAACTTGGGACGATGCCAGCGACACCATTTGCGCGCGCATCGGCAGAGTCCTTACCATGCAGGACGGCAAATTGGTATGCAGCAACTGGCAACAAGCCAGCGGCTGCACCGACACCACTCACGACCGGAGGCATTTTTGCTCCAGATGTGGTATATCCTCTCACGGAGCGCAAGCTTGCCCTCGAGCGCAGAAAGCTTAAGGCACTCACGCCATACGATCCAGATGCCTGGGAAGTGGGACTTATTTCAGCTGGGCTGTATGACAGATACTCGCATGTACCAGAAGGACTCCGTCGCGGTTTCCATCTTGAGATCCCTAATATTAAACGCACGCAAACGCCACCTAACAAAGAGTCTATTGTTACATATCAACAAGAGTTTCAATCCATCGTACAGACTGAGCTTAAGAAAGGGAGATACATCGGTCCATTCAAAGCTGATGAAGTCGAAGATCTCATCGGTCCATTTCAATCCTCCCCTTTTTCAATTATTCCTAAACCGGGTCGACCCGGTCGTTATCGCGTCATTCAGAACTATTCATTTCCCCATCTTACTTCGACGAAGTTCCCTAATGCATCAATCAATTCCTACATCAATCCAGACGACTTCCCTAGCACTTGGGGTACCTTTCACGTACTCGCTCTCACAATCAGCCGCTTACCGCCAGGATCTCAATTTGCCATCAGGGACGTTTCAGAAGCGTATCGTACGGTGCCCATTCATGAGTCTCAGTGGCCAGGATCAGTCGTGCGGGTCTCAGAAGACCTTTTTTGCATTGATACATGCATGTGCTTCGGATTACGGCCTTCAGCGGGAGCTTACGGAAATTTGGCTGATGCAGGTTTGGACTTATTCTGTTTGAAAGGAATTGGACCAGCGTCAAGATGGGTCGATGACCATCTATTTTTTTGAATACTTAGAGAACACATCGCGTCGTATAACAAAAGGAGGCGGCAATGGCATCAGGAGATCACTAGAAGGGGTCAGCATTGCGACAGAGGAAGGATATGGTTTGGCGGACACGTGTTTGATGACAGGACTCTGGAAGAATTTGACGAAGACTGCCGTTTTCCCATTCAAGATTTATCAGGAGCATCACCTAGGTCAGACGAAGACGCTCAGTTCTCGCACAACATGGCGGATATCAATGAGGTCTCAGACAACCTCAACATTCCATGGGAGATACTTAAGGATAAGATTTTTGCCTACCTTAACCCATATATTGGTCTCATGTGGGATCTCGCCCAGAATGAAGTCTTCTTGGCCGACGAGAAGAAAAACAAGTATCTCGAGGCGATTAGAGTATGGAGAGAGTGCATCGCACACATTCTCATCGACATCCAACAGTTATATGGTAAACTACTGCATGTCACGCTTGTCGTCCCAAAAGGACGAGCATATCTTACGTCTTTGGAGGCCATGCTGCGCCTTGCTGCAGATAAGCCTTTTCTCCCACGACGGCCGGTTAAAAAACTGGCAGCAGACCTCGACTGGTGGAAGGCACTGCTCGAGAAGCCCTTCATTGGACGCACGATACCCAAACCTCTGTCATTACATGACCCGGCAGCCTTCTCAGACGCGAGTTCCGGCATTGGAATTGCTATCATTATTGGAAATAGATGGAGAGCATGGAGGTTGCGCAAAGGATGGCAAAAGCTTGACGGGGAAAAAGACATTGGATGGGCAGAGGCGGTTGGATTCGAGCTCCTCGTTCAGCACCTCATTCAAGGGGGAGGAGCAGAGCGGCACTTCAGGATCTACGGAGACAATCAAGGAGTCATTGAAGGCTGGAGGAACAGCCGCAGCAGGAATTTGGCGGTCAACTCAGTTTTCAGACGGATCTTCTCTCTTATCGACAATTCCCCAGAGTCTTACTCTTTTCACCCGGCCTACGTCACAAGCAAATCCAATCCAGCGGATGCCCCGTCCAGAGGGATTTACAGTAGTACAGAATTCCTACTCCCGACCCTTCCCATCCCAACCGCGCTTCGACCGTTCATCATCGATCCGTTCGTCGTCTCCACTGATCCGGCAGACTACGACACGGAAGGAACCCATCCAAGCATCGTCAGAAGAGCTTCTTTCAACCAT